CCATCTGAATTATTAACTTACAATAGTCATAAATTGTTGTGGATTCAGATGTCTTCTACTGCTGAATTCTTCAGATGTCAGAGCCTGTTGGACTAAGCAGGCCACTCCCTAAAACAGCCACATCTTGGACCTGTGTATAAAACAGAACTACAGGATCTCTAGTCTGAAAACATGAGTCCTTAATGAAAAAGATTTCAGGGGGGAAACTCAATATATTGAAGAAATATCTTGAGGAGACATGATGGGTGTTGAAAGGTGAGATAAAAGGGCTAGATGAACCTTTGGCCTGATACAGCAGTGTTCTTCTTATACTAGCAGCAGGGAGGACTGCTGTAGAGAACCTGTGGCATTACCCTAGAACAACACTGGCTGTTGTTGCTCAATATGCTCCAATTGCTTCCCAGGGGATTTTGATCCTTGAAGCCATTGGCTTCAATGCCCTGGCTCCCATCCCAAAACATGTCCTCAGATTCTCTTTCTTGTGAGGAAATGGTACAGACTCGGCACAAGGAAAAGAGCTATTTCAGTCTCCCACAGGAAAAAGGGTTGACTGCGATGGGTCTGATCTATGAAGAGTGGCCAAGGCGCCTGGGTTCAGAGTAATAATAATAATAATAATAATAATAATAATAATAATTTATTATTTATACCCCGCCCATCTGGCTGGGTCTCCCCAGCCACTCTGGGCAGCTTCCATAAAAACCAAAAATACAGTAAAATATCACACGTTAAAAACTTCCCTGAACAGGGCTGCCTTAAGATGTCTTCTGAATGTCAGGTAGTTGTTTATCGCTTTGACATCTGCTGGTAGGGCGTTCCACAGGGCGGGCGCCACTACCGAGAAGGCCCTCTGCCTGGTTCCCTGTAGCTTTGCTTCTCGCAATGAGGGAACCGCCAGAAGGCCCTCGGCGCTGGACCTCAGCGTCCGGGCAGAATGATGGGGGTGGAGACGCTCCTTCAGGTATACTGGAGTCCGTTACATTAAGCTCAAGACTGCTGAGTAGTTGTTTCAACCACTTCTCCATGCCCACTCATCCAGCTAAAAGCCACCATGAGTGCAGTCCTTACTCATGAGAGTCTCTATTCCTGGCTGAACCTGCAGACAAATGTGTGTCTAAGCAGGCATACATTGTCCCTTCTCCTGGTGTTCTAGGAGAGAGTGCTGTACCCACCTCCTCCCTACTCAGCCTGCTTTGCCTCTCCAGGTTCTGACAATACTCTCTCTCCCTCTGGAAGGAACGGAGCTGGAAGTCCTATCTCCACACAGAGCCAGGTGGCGTTGAGGTGGGGCCAGCCTACCACTTCCATTCCTTCTCATCTTCCTCCAGTATCTGCCATGCTAGAGCTAGACCCAACAGTGCCAAGTGAGTCATGACACCAAACAGCATGCCCTCCTAACCCAAGTACTTTTTAAAAGTCTTACTGCACCCTTCAGACACCAATTCTAGCTGGAAATAGAGTTGTCTCCCAGTTTAAAATATTGAGTCTGGAGGTGCTGGGAATTCCTCTTCCCAGGACCACTGGCTAAGAAGGTGCTGTTGCTGACTGGGATACTGGGAAATGGGGTCTGCAACACCTCATGACTCAATCCAATAAACTCAATCCATTAAATTTAGCTAACATGTTTGCTTTGGTAATTTGTGGAACAGACCATTATTTACAATGGGATGCAAGTCTGCTAAAAAATTATTGATTGTACTTCAGCAGTGCATAACACTGTTAAAGGAACAACTTAAGAATGCAAGCTATTAAAATGCAAGACCACAGCTATGTCACTGAAAAATAAATTAAAAAGAGACATGATTCTGGATTCTGGAGCAGATCATTAAGCAAACAGTCTGTGAGCACCTAGAAAGGAATGCTGTGATCACCAATAGTCAGCATGGATTTCTGAAAAATAAGTCATGTCAGACTAACCTGATCTCATTTTTTGACAGAATTACAAGCCTGGTAGATGAAGGGAATGCAGTGGATGTAGCCTACCTTAATTTCAGCAAGGCATTCGACAAGGTGCCCCATGATATTCTTGTAAAGAAGCTGGTAAAATGCGGTCTTGACTATGCTACCACTCAGTGGATTTGTAACTGGCTGACTGACCGAACCCAAAGGGTGCTCATCAATGGTTCCTCTTCATCCTGGAGAAGAGTGACTAGTGGGGTGCCACAGGGTTCTGTCTTGGGCCCGGTCTTATTCAACATCTTTATCAACGACTTGGATGATGGACTCAAGGGCATCCTGATCAAATTTGCAGATGACACCAAACTGGGAGGGGTGGCTAACACCCCAGAGGACAGGATCACACTTCAAAAAGACCTTGACAGATTAGAGAACTGGGCCAAAACAAACAAGATGAACTTTAACAGGGAGAAATGAAAAGTATTGCACTTGGGCAAAAAAAATGAGAGGCACAAATACAAGATGGGGGACACCTGGCTTGAGAGCAGTACATGTGAAAAGGATCTAGGAGTCTTGGTTGACCACAAACTTGACATGAGCCAACAGTGTGACGTGGCAGCTAAAAAAGCCAATGTAATTCTGGGCTGCATCAATAGGAGTATAGCATCTAGATCAAGGGAAGTAATAGTGCCACTGTATTCTGCTCTGGTCAGACCTCACCTGGAGTACTGTGTCCAGTTCTGGGCACCACAGTTCAAGAAGGACACTTACAAACTGGAACGTGTCCAGAGGAGGGCAACCAAAATGATCAAAGGCCTGGAAACGATGCCTTATGAGGAACGGCTAAGGGAGCTGGGCATGTTTAGCCTGGAGAAGAGGAGGTTAAGGGGTGATATGATAGCCATGTTCAAATATATAAAAGGATGTCATATAGAGGAGGGAGAAAGGTTGTTTTCTGCTGCTCCAGAGAAGCGGACACGGAGCAATGGATCCAAACTACAAGAAAGAAGATTCCACCTAAACATTAGGAAGAACTTCCTGACAGTAAGAGCTGTTCGACAGTGGAATTTGCTGCCAAGGAGTGTGGTGGAGTCTCCTTCTTTGGAGGTCTTTAAGCAGAGGTTTGACAACCATATGTCAGGAGTGCTCTGATGGTGTTTCCTGCTTGGCAGGGGGTTGGACTCGATGGCCCTTGTGGTCTCTTCCAACTCTATGATTCTATGATTTTATGAAAGAAAGTAATTTTGCTTACCTGTTGTTGTGCATCAGTAGCGACCAGATCTCAAATAGACACAGCAGAAGACCTTTGCGTCAGGGAGTGAGCAGAGGAGTGGTGGAGACTGCCTCCACCTCCTGACCTTTCCAGGGAGGAGGAAGTGGAAGATAGCATCAATTTACAACAGGGGTTTGAGGGAGGTAGCAGCTCAGAGGCAGGTGAGGGGGAAAGTTGGGAAATATTGGGAGAGGAGGAGCAAGACCTTGCTGACCTGTTATTAGAAAACATTCCAGACCTTCCATTTCCCAGAACCCAGCGAGCCTTAAAAGTAGGAGAGAATGAACTCAAAGACATAGTGCACTTAGCAGCCCCCGTACAGCAGGTGATGATGATGGCGAATGAGGAAGTGGGAGAGAAGGGGGGGTGCAGATTAACAGAGGACAACACCATTATCCATTTCCTTATCGTTATACTTTCCTGGGCAACCAGCCAGGAGCTTCTGGAAACTATGAAAACAGTTGAGAAAGAAAGCATCATCACACACCCAACATTTGCCTAATGATAAGTCTGTACAAAGCATTATAATGTATGGCAGATGATCTGGCCTGCCATTCGCTGGTTACCAAGAGCGGCTCAGAGCCCATCTGCAAAACTGCCTGCCTAGGAGGGCAAATGGATCTCTCAAACTTAAAACTTATTTTCTATGAAATGCAGGGGGAGAGGGAGGTATTTGTACAAAGAAATAATAATAATAATAATAATAATAATAATAATAATAATAATAATAATAATTTATTATTTGTACCCCGCCCATCTGGCTGGGTTTCCCCAGCCACTCTGGGCGGCTTCCATAGAAACCAAAAAACACATAGATAGTTTATCCTCCCCAGCTTTGGTACCAGAAATGTAAAGCCCCTCAAAATCTGCATAAACCCCAGCACAGTGGTTCCTCAAAATTAACAACCATGGGCTGCTTGTAAATTGCTGAGGTTTCTGTTGGACCATTTAATTATATTTTTCCTACCTCTGACTGCAATTGTACTGTGCTGTGATAGTTGTTTGTTATATTTTGATGGCTTCGTTTATTCCTTATATTGCATTTTCATGTATTACAGTTGCATGCCATAGAATTCTGTAGAAATCAATTGATAAAGTGTTCTAGTCTGCTGCAGACCACCTAAATAAAGCTCACAGACTTGAGAGAATCCTTGCCAAGGGGATGGATTGTTTTCATTTTCTCAAATCTCCAGGGCCTGATGAACTGCATCCAAGGGTACACTATAAGTTTTTGGATGTAATCTCAGAGTTGATGGAGGAAATTGTGTGCCACCTCCCACCCCTAGCCTCATTATCTCCTTGTCAGGACAATGTTTCACAGCAGGGGGTTTGACCATGGACCCCTAGGCCATGGCCCCCTAGGCTTCCATGCATGGACTTTAGGGGCCCCATGAACCAGGCACCAAAAATTATTCTCGCTCCCTTTATTTCCTTCTCATGCCTTAGAAAATTGTCTTTGTCAAAAGAATTCTGCAAAGGGGCTACACTGCTTTCATCAGATTCTAAAAAGGGCCTATGAGCACCTGTGCTCAAAGGTTAAGAACCACTGATCTACAAGGAACAGCAAGAAACATCTACGCTGTGGCTAAAAGATGAGGCCTTTGCAGAGAGAAGTATACTTTTGCAGTGCAAGGCCAATGAATTCCACTACCAATTGTGTCAATGCCAAAAGGTAGATTTTATTAGAAGACGAGAGATAGGTAATAGAAACAAAAATCAGTTAACAAATTGAAGATAAATACAAGTCATACAGACCAATGCAGTGTCTACAATCGCAGGGAATATAAGCAGTTAGTGACTTTCATAACATTTTACTTGTACTTCTGCATAAGATAGAATATATCAGGGTATAGTTTCTTTGGAGGATCCAGACCCCATAAAAAATCGCCATGCTGCCATTCAGGAATATTCTTATGGAAAACTAAATTAGAGATTCGAGGAAGCAACAGCTGGATGTCCTTTCTGTTTATTACAATATCATGTCCACCATACCACACAGCAGTTGGCACAACCATGTCTTCGATTTAATAGAATGGAGGAGTGGTCTGTGGATGAAAATATCAGAATGATTAAAACGGTCTTCATCTGCCAATCTTAGATTTTTACCTGTTTTCTTAGCCGTCTGATGGTTCATATGCAGGACCATCAAAACTCTGGGATGTGTGACCTATGTTTCTGGAAAATGCTTCCTTGAGCATTAGTATCAGATTTTCTTCTCCATTGTATTAATGAATCTGTCACGTATTAATTGTTTACTGTGCATTCTTGATTTATGTGTAGGACAACTACTTGACTGGATTGAACATAGGATATACCAACATTGTGGGATGTACAACGACATTGAGGATCTGTATCAGGATTAATGTGCATGTCTGCTAAAGTGAGCAATAGTTCAGCTTGGCACATTTAGGCTCTGGACTTAATCAACTTTCAGGTAGCAGTGAGCAGGCTTTAGAAAGCTGCCCATATGACTTCAGTTTTGATGTTCTCTTTCCTACTGCCATTGCATGGCTTCACAGCTGCTTCTACAAACAAGATAACTGTTTTGAAGCTATATATATACATACACAAACACACACATGCTGAACATGTGCAGCTTTATATATTTAAAGCATTTCAAACATAGCACCACCATGACTATAGGAATAAAACTGAGTTTGCTTCTGCTGCTCTGAGGTTAAACACATCTCCTTGGGAATAAGCAACATTCTGATGTAAGAAAAGGATAATATGATTTCAAAGTAAAAGAAAAGAAAAGAAGATCTCTAACCACATAAATGCCAGGGTGGTCACCCCTGACTATAAAATCTTCGTTGGAATACTGCATACTGGCCATGGTGCTAGAGTCAGGCTGGTTTGTCACTGCCAGTGCTATCTGGTGCTCTTTAGGTGATCATTTGGGCTGTGGAATCTGGGACCTCAGCCATGTGGTCCAGGCATGGCTGCACAAGGAATAGTGGGAAGCATCAAGGGTTTACCAGGAGAGGGATGGGATCTAGGTTTACAATGTTGGTATCCATCTGTCTTGGGAGAGAATGGAGTGCGTTTCCAGGGGTGAAGTCCAACCACTGCACCAGCAGCACCAAAGTGACCTGGGCTACCCAGACAATAAGACCACCATCTTGGCTGCACTGATGTGGTCCAAAGGAAGTAGAGCAATGCATTTGGCACCAGCTTGGCTGCAGAAGGTGCTGGAAAGAGGCATACAAGGCCCCACCCAACTGTCTCCGAATTTGTGCCTGGTTTACTCCTGAAACTTTACTTTTCTTTAACTCTTTACCGTATTGTATATAGCTTTGTTCTTACTGCCATAGTCAAAATATTTCAGTTCTCTTGATTTAAAAACCTATAAAATAAAGGGGAAAGTACAGAATTTTCAAATTTTTAATGCAGGCATCTTTATAACATACAGAAAGAACCCTGTCCCTAATCCCTGCAAAAATTGTGAAAACTTTTCTTTAAATAGATAGTTTTAATAGATCTGTTTTTTTCCAAATACAATCTGTTTTTAGCAATATTTTGCATACTTTGCAAATTAATAAGTAAATGATATTGAAACCCTTATACAATCATTTCAAAAATCAATCCTTGATGTTTGCTATCCTAGTAATAGCCAAACTGTGTAAGCTAATGAGAAACTGCAATGTGCAAATTAAAACTTAACTATCACTTCAGATATAATGAATAAAAAATCACTTGATGTTTGAAGTTTAAGAACTACTCTTTAGGCAACGAAATTGAAAAGTTTCTCTTTATTTCTTCTTTTGGATGACCCTATTTAAGAATATTTTCTTTTGGTTTCATTGGCATATTATGATTCTCAGTTTCTACACCTGTAGACGCATATTGCATGTAACCGGGCAACTACACCAGCAGTAACTCAGAGCGACAAAGATCCTGTGAGTGGCAGCTTGTCATATACCATTTATTGCTATATTGTTTTTCACCTACTGTAACTTTCCTGTCACCTTCTGAAAATTTAAAAAAGAAAACCCTTAAATATTCACACACGTTAAACATTCACTTGAACATTAAATGGCCTCTAAATTTTGAAATAAGGAAAAATATGCATTAAAGCTCACCTGGGCCAAGTGGATCATGTTTTTTACAGAACCATAATCAGGAATAATTCCAAAATACGCATCTATTAGGGTCTGTGGGGGGAAATAAGTATGGAAATGTTTTTAAGAATCGTCTCCTATCATTCAGAGGGAGGAATGGATGAATTGAACTAGCAAAAAGATCACAAGCATTAGAGCAATACAATCTCCAAATACCTTGAGAAATTTAAAGGGATACTGCATAGGAAAACATACATCTCAGGAAAGATGTGGTCATGAGTTTCACGCCGAATTGCATTTTAAAATATATATATATATATACTATTTTAAGCATCATTCCTTGGTCAATAAGCGCAGGACACCTTTGCCCAGCAGCGCTGTGGCCCACAGATTGCGGAAAAACTTTGCTCAGTATCTTGTTTGTGTGGTGGGCTCATGGGGAAAAACTGTCCCATGAGCCCTTGCAAAGAAGAGTGGAAAGCCTATATAAGGCTGCTGCCTATGATACTCAAGGCCAATTTGCCATGAAAGCTTCCCACTCGCCCACACTGGGGTTAGAGCATTCACTGAGCAATTTGGATCACTGGGCAGAATCAACACAGTATAAGGGGGGGGCCTATAAGGGACCTGAGGTGATGATTGATCATGGCACCCACAAGCTTAGTGTTGGGGTATCTGCCCAGAAGGAATCTGCACCCTGGTCGCCCAGTGAGACCTTACTTGCCTAGCTTGCACCTCAGGAAGAATCTGAACCACACTGGCTGACTCTCATGTAACAGGTTTGGGGTGGTCCAAACCCAGCAGATCCATTCTATCAACACGGGGCTTCTGGAATGATCCTGGGATCCAATGCCATGCCAACCCTTACCCTGTCTGCTGCTGTCTGATTTTATCCCATCACCATTGTACAATTTTGTTATTTTACTGCTATCTATGGGTCACATAATGCGCCTGTCTGGAAAATAGTTCATACATTATTATTTTTTGTTTCTTGAGACCCATCTTGTGAATTTCTTGAAATTAAAAGATGGCCTATAAAGATTACAAATAAATAACAAGTTAAGTTGTAATGTCCTATTTTTCATCTGTTACAATTAAAGTTACAAGATCACTGTGTTCTGATGTATAGGGAGTGGCTGCTCTGTACAGCTCCAAACACTGCTAGATGTCAGGCATGGAGAGTCCTACTCTCCCTTCGGGAACTTCACAGATAAGAATTGATGAGCAGTTGATAGGTTTATAGTCCTTTGATTACAACATCATGTGGCAAGCACAAATATACAGCTCTCCGCAAGGAGGGCAGTTGGCTACTCTGAATCCTTCTTCCAACTTCCACAGCATTCAAGGCACCAACGGGAAGTTCCTCCCCCTCTCTGCCTCCTTTGCTCTCTGATACGTTCAAACCTCCGAGTCCATGGGGGGGTCCCCCCACACTCTCAATTGACGTCTTGACTAGCTGTCCCCTTCCTTCTGGTTCCCTTGTCATTATTTCACAACTGGGTAACTCTTCCCTAAGCTGTTCAGCTTCTGTCTCTCTCTCTGCTTCAGAACACACTGTGGACAATGACTCTTCCGCCTCCAGCTCTCCATCAGAGAAAAGCTGGTCTGCCATAGAATGCATCCCACAGTCCTCGTCTTCAGACCATTCCCTGACTCTAGACTACAAGAGCAACTTGCCGCCATGTTCTGCCTCCATGGACAGAGGCAATAAAGCTTCTGAATGCAAGTTGCTCTTGAGCTCAGGTCCTGCTTAAGGGTTTAGCCACCTGACTGGCTACTGTGAGAACAGGGCACTGGACTAGCTGGGCCATTGACCTGATCCAGCAGGTTCTTCTTAGGCTCTTAACTGCCCTCATCCCTGACCCTTCGACAGGCAAACTGAGATGAATGGGAGTTGGAATCTGACACCATCTGAAGGGCCACCAGTTTTCTACCCCGTGAGATATCAACAGATAAAGAAAACAACAAAAGCCATATAGTTTATCCCTTCTGTAATATATCAGGGTCTCTTCCACAAAGATTCTTCTCCATTCTGGCTCAAACATGTACAGACATGGTCACTCAGTTACACATTTAGGTCTACAATGCTATACATGCATAACTTGAAGCATGTACTATTGAACTAGTCCTAGTTATGATCCATATCTATATCTCAGAGCTCCACAAATTCAGCCTGCATGAATATAGAGAAAGTCATGCATTTTGTCATGTTGATGTAGGCTCTAAAAATAACAAGAAAGCAAACCATAGTCCACCATTTCCCATTTTTTGGAAGTCTTTCCAGGACTGAAGCACTTCTGACACAACAGAAGGAAAAAAGATTTGTTGGTATCAGTTATAATAAAGAGACAGTAATTATTACAATTGTCTCAACTATCCAAGCTACAAGTTGTGCCTTTATACCTGAAATTCCAAAATGCTTCTTGGTCAATTGACAGAGTCGTGTGTCTTCTAGACCAGCTGTTCCCTCTAGTATTTATTATCCAAACATCATAGCCAGCATCTGCTAGAGCAAATCCCAGGCTATCTTGGGAGGATTTATAATCCAGGTCCTACCTTCACCCAAAACACCATGTACCAGTAAAACAACTGGCCTAGGACCTGGTGGGAGGGGAACAGAAACAAAGTGGGCATTAGATAATATTGTTCTCAGTAGGAGTTGTTGTTAGCCACTTAATATAAATAATACATCCCCTTCATGGATCACTGCCTTGCCGTGGCGAAGGGGCTTGAAGAACTCAGAGAAGCTATGAACTACGCCGAGCAGGGCACACAAGATGAACAGGTCATAGTGGAGAGTTTCGACCAAACGTGATCCACCTGGAGGAGGAACCGGCAAGCCACTCCAGTATCCTTGCCAAGAAAACTCCATGGACAAAGACAACAGGCATATAAAAGTTATGACGCTGGAAGATGAGCCCCTCAGGTCAGAAGGCGTCCAACATGCTACTGGGGAAGAGCGGAGGGCAAGTACAAGTAGATCCAGAGCTGATGAAGCGGCTGGGCCAAAGCCGAAAGGACGCTCAGTTGCGGATATGCCTGGAAGCGAAAGGAAAGTCCAATGCTGTAAAGAAAAATATTGCATAGGAACCTGGAATGTAAGAACCATGAACCTGGGTAAGTTGGAGGTGGTCAAAAATGAGATGGCAAGAATAAATATTGACATCCTGGGCATCAGTGAACTAAAATGGACGGGAATGGGCGAATTCAGTTCGGATGACCATCACATCTACTACTGTGGGCAAGAAACCCGTAAAAGAAATGGAGTGGCCCTCATAGTCAACAAAAGAATGGCAAAAGCTGTACTGGGATGCAATCTCAAAAATGATAGAATGATCTCGATACGAATCCAAGGCAGACCTTTTAACATCACAGTAATCCAAGTTTATGCACCAACTACTGGTGCTGAAGAAACTGAAATTGACCAATTCTATGAAGACTTACAAGACCTTATAGAAGTGACACCAAAGAAGGATGTTCTTCTCATTATAGGGGATTGGAATGCTAAAGTAGGGAGGCAAGAGATAAAAGGAACAACTGGCAAGTTTGGCCTTGGAGATCAAAACGAAGCAGGGCAAAGGCTAATAGAGTTCTGTCAAGAGAACAAGCTGGTCATCACAAACACGCTTTTCCAACAACACAAGAGACGACTCTACACATGGACATCACCAGATGGGCAGCATCGAAATCAGATTGATTATATTCTCTGCAGCCAAAGATGGAGAAGCTCTATACAGTCAGCAAAAACAAGACCTGGAGCTGACTGTGGCTCAGATCATCAGCTTCTTATAGCAAAATTCAAGTTTAAACTGGAAGAAAGTAGGAAAAACCACTGGGCCCGCGTAAGATACAATCTAAGTCAAATCCCTTATGAATACACAGTGGAAGTGAGGAACAGGTTTAAGGATTTAGATTTGGTGGACAGAGTGCCTGAAGAACTATGGATGGAGGCTCGTAACATGGTACAGGAGGAGCAATGAAAACCATCCCAATGAAAAGGAAATGCAAAGAAAGCAAAGTGGCTGTCCAACGAGGCCTTACAAATAGCGGAGGAGAGAAGGCAAGCAAAATGCGAGGGGAGATAGTGAAAGATACAGGAATTGGATGCAGATTTCCAAAGAATAGCAAAGGAGAGACAATAAGGCCTTCTTAAATGAGCAATGCAAACAAATAGAGGAAAACAACAGAATGGAAGAACCAGAGATCTGTCAAGAAAATGGAGATATGAAAGGAACCATTTCATGACAAAGGACAAAAGTGGTAAGGACCTAACAGAAAGCAGAAGACATCAAGAAGAGGTGGCAAGAATACACAGAGGAATTATACCAGAAAGATATGGATGTCTCGTACACCCCAGGTAGTGTGGTTGCTGACCTTGAGCCAGACATCCTGGAAAGTGAAGTCAAATGGGCCTTAGAAAGCACTGCAAAAACAAGGCCAGTGGAAGTGATGGTATTCCAGCTGAACTATTTAAAATTTTAAAAGATGATGCTGTTAAGGTGCTACACTCAATATGCCAGCAAATTTGGAAAACTCAGCAGTGGCCAGAAGATTGGAGAAGATCAGTCTACATCCCAATCCCAAAGAAGGGAGTGCCAAAGAATGCTCCAACTACCGCACAATTGCACTCATTTCACACGCTAGCAAGGTTATGCTTAAAATTCTACAAGGAAGGCTCAAGCAGTATGTGGATCGAGAACTCCCAGAAGTGCAAGCTGGATTTAGAAGAGGCAGAGGAACCAGAGACCAAATTGCAAACATGCGCTGGATTATGGAGAAAGCTAGAGAGTTCCAGAAAGACATCTACTTCTGCTTCATTGACTATGCAAAAGCCTTTGACTGTGTCGACCACAGCAAACTATGGCAAGTTCTTAAAGAAATGGGAGTGCCTGATCACCTCATCTGTCTCCTGAGAAATCTCTATGTGGGACAAGAAG